TTGATAAAACCGGTTCTGTGTACTGTTATGTTAAGGTAATAGAATCACATGTGCAAAGAAGAAAAATGTAACAGTACTAGTTGTAGTTTGTATGCAAACTACCTAGTTCATAACGAAGACAATCAGACTGATTTTGGCAAATGACATGCCCCCTAAAAAACAGATGGCTTGTGGGCGGGGCAAGTATTTGCTATGATAAGACTGTCTTTGGCAAATGATATACTCTCTGAGAAAATAAAGGGTGGGTGGGCGGGGCTAGTATTTGATAAGATAAGACTGATTTTTGCACTACAAATTTTATAGCAAATACGTATAAGAAAAAAAGTTACAATTATTATTTTCCTTGACGTAACATTTTCCATCTTCGAAAAATTATAATTTTTTTGGATTTCTTGACTTAATCAGTAAAATAAATTGAGTCATTAATTTTTTTTTGCATTACCCCGTATAAGTAAATCGAAAAAATGTAATGCAAATGCAGTAATTTCAAAAGTATGCGGTACACTTTATTGATAAGATAAGCAAAATAAGAATGAAAAACGTTACTACAAACAAAACTCAGGCGGCAGCTCTTTGTGCAGGTGGCTGCCTGGCTGCAAGTCATAAATTATTGAGACGCCCGGAAGTGGCTAATTTACCATTTTGCACAATCTCGAGATAATATGTGTGAACAAACGGTTTGTCGAAAACGAAATCGTATAAACCGTCTTTGCACAAGTTCGGACATCGTAAAATATATTCACCAACGGGAATAGTGGTATCTGAACAATATGCATAGTGTCTAAAATTCTTAATAAACCTCAATTGAACAAAATATTCTAAATGCTATTGTTATCATTCTTACCTTATCATTATTTTATTGTTATAAAGACGAGCGTATTTTCACATTTTCGAGAAATCCTGTATATAAGCAAACCTAAAACATATGAATGCAGTGATACATTACAAGTGTAGACTGAAATGATCATATTTTACACATTTTAGGTAGGATTTATTCGGCAAAATTTTAAGATGACGTAATCAATTTTTTGGGGCTGATAAACAGATACATTTTGATTAAAAAGTTACCATGCTTACAATAACTTCAAACCCATTTCCGATCAACAATTTTGAAGTGACGTCATCACATTCTTGGTGGGGATGATTAGACAAATTTTGATTAGCGTTTTATCATCTACATGATATTCCTAATATAAATACAAAATTTAACTAATAAAAATCACGCACAGCAGACAGACAGACAGACAGACGGATAAACAAACGAACAGACAGGCGGACAGACAGACAAACAAACAAACAGACAAACAGACAGACAGACGGAAACGGGAGACCTATTTCTTCGTATCTAGGGTTCATTAAAGGCCGAGAAAACGTAAAAGTAGAGTAGAGAGTAGAATGAATCTTCAAAAAAACGAAAAAACAAAGATTCTTAGTTCAAAAATTAAAAAGTTCATGTAGGATTCGAACCTAGGACCTCCGCTTATTGTTCCAATTACTGTGATGCCATAACCACCTGGGAAGTAGTGTAATAGGATCGTCCATCAGGTCACTGGCTACTTTTATATTTTTTGGACCTGAGAGTTTGAAAAGTACTTTCGTTTCTGTCTGTATGTCTATTTGTCTGTATTGATTTTTATTATACAGATAATTTCTGTTATCATGTCGATGGTAAAAGCTAACCAAAATTCATGATCATCCCCACCAACAATTTTATGTAGTCAGCTCAACATTTTGCGCAATACAAGATGTTTAAATTTTATAAAATAATGTATTCGTGTACTTGTGGTTCATGAGTCTACCTTGATTTTGTTAATTATTATTATAATTGCTATTGTTTAATTTTTCCTGTACTTTAGGTATGTAAGTATGTACATAATACTTTGCAAATGAAAGGCCCAGGTTCGAAGTCGATTTCCAAGCATTTCCAATTCTTTTTTTATATTGATTAAATCAAGAGCAGTTCACTCGATTTTCTCGAAAATATAACAATATAGTAATATCACGCCCGCCTATATTTACTGATAATAAAGTAGTAATAATGATCATAATAACAGCAGCTCACCCAACATATATAATATTCGGACCGTTTTGTTCCATTATAGTTTAATTAATTAATTAGTCCTCTTCTTTCTTTTGAAGTAACAAAAACTTTCAAATTTCATTTTGTTTTCACACAAATGCATTCTTTGATCTGCCGCTGCTGATGCTGGTTATCTCTTCGTGCTTAATAGTCGAATTCTTTCGAATTATAAACATAAAAAGTCGAGTTAGGCGTGTACTGAAAATACATATTTTTCGTTGCTTATCTTCTGCTTTACTAATTTGGAAGTAATTCATATTGTCCGCACTTGTGCGGACTGCGGTCCTTTGGAATTTGCTTCCTTCCCCCGCACCAGAGAGGCTGCTTGGGTGTTATTTACGCCGCTGGATAGCATGTTTTTTTACCTGTACTTTAAATTTTAACATCCGGTGATGTCTTTATTTTCAGCTGTAGGAGTTATCATAAAAAATAACTTTGGTTCTGTTTTTTTTTTATAAAATCGCTACACGTCTAATGAGTCATTTTTTCAACACAGAAGCAAATTTGTTGTGTAATCTTTCATAGAGAAAATTTGTGGGTTGTAAAGTAGAAATTTAAACGATATATTTTTTAATATACATAGTTACAATATCCATTATTAGCTTCAAACAAATTCAAATGTTCAATTATAAAACACAAAATGCATGAAAACGTAAAAACGCCCATAAACGTAAAGCGGACATCTAACATTTATAGAAAACTTGGCCCTGGTTGGTCAATTCAAGTCATTTTGAACTAATGACTCTTCTTCAATGTGGTTGCGATGTTACTCTGACGTCAGCATCATGGTATTGGCTTGTTGTTTATAGGCACAAATGCTATTTTCAAAAATTAAAACACAGTAGCAGCAGCATTTATTAAAAATCTTTCATAAATTTTTACTGTATCATAAATGCCATATAATGGAAACATAAATACAGAAAAATATAAATCTAATAAAAAAAAAATGCACATAATATTTATATTACGGCTATTTACTTATTTATGTATAAATAAAAGAGATATTCTTTCCGTGAGATCCCACACACCTGTAAATACACTAAACCTCAAAAAAATGGCCACTGAAATATTTCACTCCTGTCACTTTCTTAAATTAAAATTAATTATGTGTTTATTTGACTCTTTTTTAGCCAATTTGTGCATGCTATGTCAACAGCGAAGAGTTATTTAATAAAATAACAATAGTTTTATTAAGAGTACATATTTCAAAGTGGTCGATTTTTTTGCCGGTCAGTATATATTTATTTGAGTTTAACTGTTGACCCTAATTGTACATGATTTTTCTATAAAAATTGCTTTTACTTTTAATGAACGTGATATACTTGCTTTACTCTGTTTCTTTTTATGATGCGAATGACTAACTTCAACTTGACCCTTGTTGTATAATACCATCTCACGTTTCCGTCTGTCTGTCAGCTGTTGAAATTGTTGAGATAACCTTTGAAGCTATGGTGAAATTATAAATTATTTTAATAACTTCAATTGGTGATAAAACGCTAACTAGAATTTGTCTCATCGCCCATTTTAGAAATTTGATGGTCTTCCAAAAATTATATAATTTTTAAAATGAAAATTAAAAAATGCCCAAAATGCTTATAATTTTTTATCCACCACTGTTTTTAACTCTCCGCATTTAGGTTTTGGAAAAAACTCAGAAGTGTACAAAAATATTAAAGTTTTTGTTTCAGACATTAATACAAGATAAATTTATTCTATGAGCCTTTAGATTCTGTAATAAGTCCCATTACCGCAAGGACAAACATAATAACATAACAACAATAATCCTGAAAATAAATTTTAATAATCTTTTAGGATGACGTCATCAACTGTCCGGAAAGGATGAATAAACGAATTTCAGTAAATGTTTTGTAATTCCATTTGTTAATGCTCTTGGAACATTTCCAAGACATCCATTGTGTAATCACTGAGATAAATCATAAAATTCTGGAGTTATCTTTTACATACTTTAAAAAAATATATATTGCACCATTTTGCATGTCATTAATTGTAACTTTTATCACGAATCAGAACCATTACTAATCATCAAAAGTATTATTGTGAGATGTAGTTGACGAATTGCTGATTTCTATTTCCTCGACGCTTTGAAGCTCCTTGAATGTGAAAAAGTAGGTCCCCGTTTCAATCTGTCTGCCATCTATCATCTGTTGATGATTTTATTAGATAAACTGCTAGACAAATTGTTGTGAAATTTCAGATTTGTTTAAGAATATAAATACAACAAATAGTAAAACGTTCACCAAAATTTGTCTCTATTTATCTCCACAAAAATTTTGATGACGTCTTCTCAAATTTTTGCTGAGTAAATTTTCTTTAAAATCTACAAAATATTATATACATAATTTTTATTTTACAGAAGAATTTGTCGTTTTGTTGAGAAATTAGTGGGCGTTTCATGTAACAAAAGATCTTGTACATTAATAATCTTTAAGAATCTCTCAAAAAAGATTTAAGCAAGTTTATTGCTTACATAGAATTCAAAAAGCGACCAATTTATTTTGTGTGTCGGTTTAGTTTTTAGAACAGAAAAAATCGCTCCCCTTATCTATTTATATCCTATGAAAGCAGTGTGTTCATTCAAAAAAAAGTCTCATTTTAGGTTTCTACACACCGAAATTGGGCATCAACTTCATTTATTCAAATTACCTGACCCAAAATGCAAACAGGTTTTTTTCTCCACAACGAGCCAGCTAAACCCCCGGTTTACATATTTTACGTATTTTTCGCATTTCGCGCACTTAATTTCCCTCCCACTTGTAAAACATGACAACGACGAGCTGTTAGCTGCCGGAAGACAAATCAACTTCAACTCGTCGCGCTCTTGAAATATCCGAGATTAATTATCTGTTGCACGTCAGATCGCTGGCATTCCAGCCCTCTCTAAACTAAAATTTCATTTCAGACGTCCATCAGAACGTCTCATCAGCCGACACATCTCCCCAGGATGAGGATCGCGGTTTCGATATTTCCGATTCCGACTCTTCAGAAGAAAGCAACTTGAGCAACCGCGGCACCGCCACCCTCCAGCGCAGGGGCATCGTGAACCCGAACTACCCCGGCTTCCAGCACCTCGCCCACACACTCGATTACAGCATTAAAGCCTCGTCGGATACCGATTTCACAGACGACGACTTCGAATGCGAATCATTAAACACCGCCAAAACCGACGTGAATAACATCAACAACAACAATGTGGAGGACACGGATTATCAAATCGACCACATTGACAGCGTTAACAGGTTAGCTGAAGGAGAAATGAGACTTAGTCGGTGAATAGAATGTTAATCAGAACCTTGTCTCTAGCAAGTTGTCACGATTAAACATTCCAATTCTTATATTTTCCAGGTTAGATAGCGTCGAGAACATCCAGAAGGTCTTCTACGACAAGCCCGTGTTCAACATCCACGAAGAATGCAAAAGCGACTCGGACACCAGCGGAAACTCGAATCAGACGAGCGACGAAGACACGGAAATCAGCGTGGTAAGGACAGTAGAACTCAATATCAAAGCTGAGGAAGAAGCGGTGAAAAACATCGAAACGCAGAGAGAGAACATCATCGGCGATTTCGAGAAGGAAGTCGAACAGGAATTCGGAAGGATCTCGTTGGAAAACCAATGCAACCTTAAACCGGAAAACGTGTTCGAACTGCCTAATCTGGAAAAAGCTGTTGTACAAGTGCTGGAGGACACCATCGAGAAGCTAAACGAATCGATCAGTGCGCAATCTCCTGTCAAATACAACATCAAACCGAACGTGGAGGAACATCTAAATCAACTGTCTTCGTCGAAATTAGAGCCGCAACCGGTAATTCTTGACGACACGGCAACCGTGAAAACTCCGACTATGCCTTTACTGGAGAATCTCGAGAGCAAGAGCCCCGTCATCATGAAGAGCAAAGTCTCGGACGCGTTCTTGTCGGGCGCTCAGGAGTTAATTCCGGTCGTTAAGGAAAACATGTTCGACTGCGACTTCAAGCACAGTAAGCTCCAGAAGCTCGAGCGGAAAGACTCCAACCGAGAGCTGGAGGAGATAGAGTGCCAGATCAAGAAGCTAAAATCTGCCTCTAAATGCCAAATTCGGATCGAGGATGTGGAGAAGTACAACAAGGAAGCCATCACCAAGGACTACAAGGAGAAGGACGAAGACAGTGCCGTGCCGCGGAAAAAGGAAAAAATCGATTATTACGTGAAAAAAAGAAAAGACTATAATCAACAGTTTGGTAGTTTGATAACGTTCCCTCGACGTGAGTTCGGTGGCAGGAGTCGGGACGCCCTGAATAGGCGATCGGTTCCGATGGCGAGGGAGAAAAAAAGGACATCGCCGGAAGTTTTAGGTAAGGGTTAATTATGATGATATGCACGAATTAACGGCGTGAAAATAATGTTAGCGTGATGACTGCGTGGTTAAGGTTTGTCTCAGTGGAGTGGGATAATATGTTGTAATGTGTCACAGTGGTCACGTTCTTCATTAATAAGTTCTAATCTACCCCTGTTGCATGCTGCGAATGTTGCCGTGTAATGTTGCAACCCACATGTTAAATTACTGGTTGGGAAAATGCTCCGACAATAAACTTCATGCTGGTTTAGTTGTAAGGAGAATTTATTTGCTGGAAATTTCTGTTTATTCTGGAGGTTTTTCGTTATTTTAGCCATCGACCGCATTTCGGCGCGCTAGTTCAACAAAATACACACAAGTAAACAAATAAAAGTAAACTATCCAACACTCCAACTGAACACTTCTATCTCTACTTGAAAATAAATATGTTGGTGTTAAAAAATAAGTTTGTTATGCAACCAGTAAAACACGCTGCTAACGCATATAAGTTTATTAATTTCTATTAAAATGTGATGTATATTAAACACCGCATAAAATATTTTTAAATCTCATTGAAAACCACGGCACGTGCTTTCAGTTAGACATCCTTGTTGTTTTCTTGTTTGTTATGATTTACAAATTTTTCCTGGAGGTAATTTTGTTTTCAAAAAAACATAGAATCTCCTTTTGTGTGGATTTTCGTGATGTGATGTGATGTAAATAATAAAATCTCGCTTGGTTTCTCTCTGGCTCTAGTGGAAATAACGTTGTCGTAGGTACCACGTAATATGACCAACTTTTAATGGAAAATTATCATCAAATATTATTGATTTGGTCCAGAAACTCTACTCTGCTTTCAGATTAACAGGTCTTAATCTTGTCGTCATGCATATGTGCATATATTTGTTCAAGGGGAATGATCCCGTGGAATGCCACCATGATGTGCTTTGGAGGCATCCTTTACTTTGTCCTTAAACCACTACATTGTCAAACTTCCAACATTTTAGGGCGGCTGTTCTTCTCCTTCTTTGGCGCCTTTAATACGTCATATGCTGCTCATACTATTTCTTCTTCTCCAATCTGACTATCGTCCTAAATTTTTTCATCCCGACTTTTAATAATTAAAACACTTTGTTAGGTTGAGGTTTCATTCGTCGCTTTTTTATTGCCATTCGACAATTTCTTGTGTTAAAATCCACACTAAATTATTTTAGATGCGTTTAGGACAATTTTCAGTTTCTCTGTACATTTAGTGTTCTTCCTTGTGTATAATTTTCACCATCCTCACTTGGTTTTCGTTTATACATATGTTGTGTTTAAATACAGGTTTACAAATGAGTTATGTTTTGACCTTTTTTCAACTTTCGATGTATCTAAATTTCCGTTTCAAACTGAATTTTTCGAAAAACTTTTTTTGGAGACTACCCACAATTTTATTTTTCGAATCAGCTCGTCGAGAACTATTTCAAAGGTTTTTTTGAAGATTTTTAGGCAACTTTTCAAAAACCTCACTTTTTCAATACCCTCTCCTCTGCATGAAGTTTTTGGTCGTTTGTCAAAATTTCGAAATATTTAAAAAATTTAATTACCAAATCGAAATTTCCAAAATTTTTGTTGGGGGAGACCATTAACCATTTGTTTTTGGTATTGTCTTATTCGCAGTCTATTAATACTTAAAAATTTTCAAATTAGCTCTTTGAGATTCATCTCAAAGAAAGTTTTGAGGACTTTTAAGTGTTAATAGTCCACGAATAAGAGATTTCAATTTTTCAATAACTTCCGCCCCGTATGATTTTTTTGAAACCGTTTCCCGAAATTTCAAAATAATAAAAAAAAATATTTTCAATTCGAAGTTTTCAACCTTTAACAATTTATGTTTTTCGAATCAGCGTGTCAATTTTTATATCCGCAAATGTTTTAAGGTTAGTTATTTAGGCAACTTTCCAAAAATTCTAATTTTCCAATAACCCTCGGTACGAATTTTTTGACTCTATTTTCGAGCTTTCAAGAATTTTAAAAAATTCATTCTCAGACGAAATTTTTCGAAAATCTTGTTTATAGACCTTTAACACTTTATATTTTTTGTCAAATCAGCTCCTCGAGATCTATCTCAAAGAATGTTTTGAGAATTTTTAGGCAACTTTTCAACAATTTCAGTTCGCCAATAACTTCCCCTGCATGAATCTTTTGACCATTTTCCGAAATTTCCAGATATTAAAAAACAATAATTTTTATGTCGAAGTTTCCGAAATTTTTGTTCGGAGATCATTAACAATTTATGTTTTTCAAATCAGCGTGTCGAGTTTTATATCCTCGGTTTTAGGAATTTTTAAGCAACTTTTCAAAAATTCAAGTTTTTCAATAGGTCCGATAGGTTTTTTGACACTTTTGAGCTTTTGAGATATTTCAAAAATCCATTTTCAAACCGAATCAGCTCTTTGAGGATTTTCAACCGACTTTTTAACAATTTCAACTTTTCAGTAACCTCCCCTCCGTATGAATTTTTATACCGTTTCCCGAAATTTGAAAATATTAAAAAATAATAATTTTCAAATCGACATTTTCGAATTTTTTGTTCAGGGACTATTAACAATTTGTTTTAAGGATTTTTAGTGAACTTTCCAAAAATTCCAATTTTCCAACAAGCCCCGCTACAAATTTTTTACCTTTTTTTCGAGCTTTTTTTCGAGCTTTTAAAAAATTCATTTTCAAGCCGTATTTTTCGGAAATCTTGTTAATAGACTTTATATTATTTGCCAAATCAGCTCTTCGAGGTCTATCTCAAACAATGTTTTGCTGATTTTTAGGCAACTTTCTAACAATTCCAATTCGCCAATAACCTACTCTCTTTATGAATTTTTTTACTATTTCTCGAAATTTCGAAATATATATATAAAAAATAGTTTTTATACACAAGTTATCAAAATTTTTGTTTGGGGACCATTAAAAATTTATGTTTTTCGAATCAGCCTGTCGAATGTTTTAAGGATTTTCAGGCAGCTTTTAAAAAAATTCCAATTTTCTAATAACCGCCGGGACGAATTTTTTTACTTTTTTCGAGATTTCGATATATTTAACAAATTTAATTTTCAAATCGAAGTTTTCGAAAATCTTGCTTGGACCAATAATACTTTATGTTTTTCGCATTAGCTCGTTCAGATCTCTATCCTCAATTTTTTTGAGGATTTTTCGACAAATTTTCAAAAACCCCATTTTTTCGGCACCCCCAGTATGTTTTTTTTTTTAACTTTTTTCAATACCTTGATCAGGGATCACACTAATATGTTTTTCGAATCAGCTCGTCGAGGTCGATACAGCAAAATTTTTTACCATTTTGAGGCAAATTTTCAAAATCTCCATTTTTAAATAAGTGGTATGAATTTTTTTATCTTTTTCGGCTTTGGAGATAATTAAAAATTTCACTAGTAAACTGAATTTTTCGAAAATCTTGCTCAGGGCCATTAACAACTGAAATGTATATCCTAGAAATTTTTAACGATTTTTAGAAAACTTTTCAAAAGTCCCAATTTTTCATATCCTCTCCTCCGAATAAATTTTTTACCACTTCTCGAAATTTCGAAATATTTAAGAACGCCATTTTCAAATTGAAATTTTCAAAGATCTTGGACCGAGATGATTGACACTATGTTTTTCGAATCACTTCGTTGAGATCCCCAAATTTTTTAAGGATTTTTAGGCTACTTACCAAAAATTCCAATTTTCCAATAACCCCAGTATGAATTTTTTTTACCGTGTTTCGAGTATTTAAAAAGTTCAGTTTCAAAGTGAATTTTTCGAAAATCTTATTCGGAGACCATTGACACATTTTTCAATCAGCTCTTTGAGATCCATCTCAAAAAATGTTTTGAGAATTTTTACGCAACTTTTCAACAATTTCATTGTATCAAATTTTTGTTCGGTGATCATTAACAATTTATGTTTTTAGAATCACCGTGTCGAATGTTTTAAGGCTTTCAGGCAACTTTTAAAAAATTCCAATTTTCTAATAATTCCCGGTACGAATTTTATGACCTTTTGAGGGAACTTTTCAAAAATTTCCATTTTTAAATAGTATGAATTTTTTTATCGCTTTTCGAGCTTTGGAGATGATTACAAAAATTCACTTTTAAACAGAATTTTTCGAAAATCTTGAACCAGGATCATTGACACTTTGTTTTTCAAATCCCCTCATGGAGATTTTTTAAGGATTTTAAGGCAAGGTTTCAAAAAGCACAATTTTCAGTACCTACCTCTCGGTATGAATTTTTTTAACTTTTTTAAGATTTTGAGTACGTATTTGAAAAATTCGTTTACAAAGCGAATTTTTCGAAAATCTTAATTCACTGAATGAACCGCACGTTATGTTTTTGGAAGTAGCGTCGAGATCGATGTAGAAGAAATTTTTTAGCATTTTCTATGAATCATTCAAACACTTTGTTTGAAACAGTTTTGGGAGCCTCTAGTGTTTTTGTTTTTTTAATATGAAAACTCTTTAAAACCTTTGACATTTTCTGTTTTTGAAGGAATTTAACAATCTTGGGACACGAATGTTTTTTAGGCATCTGGAGGTGTCTTTTTTTTAAGAACATGAAAACCGACAGCCTTTGGAACTTTCTCGACTCTAACACTCCTAACCCTCTCTTGGCGTCTCTCTGGATTAGGCATCACATCTTTTTTGAGCAAATCTTCGTAACAAAATTTAAAAATATATGTTTTAAAATAGTTACGCAATGTCCAGCTAAGATTATAATAAATTTAAGGCAGAAAGCTAGAATTTTTTGCGACTTTTTTCAATAAGATCTGATTTTATCACGAACTAAAAGTTGAATATAATTTGAACATTACTTGCATTGGGTTATTATCGCCATATAATATTACCCATTTCAAAATAATGGTTACCAATAAAAGTTTTATACAATACAGTTCTATGACGCGAATATTACACTATCATTAAAAAATTGCATGCTTTTATTTAATTCTGTGCCAAAATATAAAACTGTGATAGTTATGTGATATTCATCTTATTCATTACACTTTGAACATCGTGGTTATAAAGAATTCAACGTATCATTAAATCTGGCGTTTACCATATGACTATACCGCTACCAGTAAGCGACACTCTCGTTAAATAAAATCTCCGACAGGTGGTGGTAGTTACTCCGAAAATGACAACAATAAATTTTACTTTCTTGCTACGAATTACAAATTACACTAAAACAAACCTGAATCATGCTTATCATATCATGTTTCTCAACCACTTAATCATACTTTTATTCATTTTGTTCCCCCACTAAATCCAGATTTCGCACATTTCCATTCCAGGTAGTTTCGACGTATACAACATCGAAACAGCAATGCCAAAAATCGACTTAGAAGCCATCGAATCCCATCTCCGCGCCGCTAGGGAAGAGGAAAGAAGGGTGAGTTTGTCTAAACTGTAAAAACTCCTAAATATTTAAGCGATGTTATCAATGTCCAACTGTCCCCAATATTCATCCTGCATGTATGTACATACTCAGGACCGGCTTCAATCAGAAAAAAAATCGTGCAGTTTTTTGAGGAGACGGTAACAAAAATAATACGTTTACTGAATTACTAGGTACTAAATTTTATTAAAAAATAATACAAATAATTATTACGATACAGCTATATTTTTAGAAACAGTCATATATTGTGGAAAACCCAACCTTTTTTCCGTATTTATTTATTCCTCAATCAAATCGAAAGTTAATCTAGATGATGCAGTTAAAGTTGAGATTTTTTTTAACTAACAGCTCAGGGTTTTTACATATTGAAATTTTACAAACGTCCTATTATGTATTAAACTAGTGCCTCATTTAGGCTAAAATCAAAGGTGTTAACAGAATTTTATGTAAGGATTTCCGTAATCAGGAAATCAGAATGAAATAAACTTGGATTTTTTCGAATATAAAAAATCTGATTTTGACAGTAAGTGTTTAACCACAAGAGCGAAGAAGTTCAAAGCCGACCCTGATGCAGATATGTGTCAGAAACACCATCTAATGATCTGTTCAGAGAACATGCTGCCATAAGCAGGAACGCACATGTGTTGATTCACATCTCCTACACCAATAAACCGTCTAATGTACCCGTGACTGCATGAGCCTAATGGGCAGGATACATACAGCCGAAATTGGTTCACGCGTATTCGTTTAGTCTAATTTATTTTGCGAACTGATGTCACTAAATTAAAATTGAAATATCTCGTAGTTGGAATTTTTCGCAACCAATCGATGTATTGTGAATTCCCTGTTTGTGTTTCGTGATGGAGTTCCCGAGGCCCTACAGGAGCAGGGTAAGGCTGAAATATTCGAGCTCTGTTATTTTAACAATTAATCGATTTGCTACATTTCACATTTCGCTCCACATTTTCACCCTGTCAAAACTTATGATTCCTAAATCGTAAATAAACACTCGCTGTTATTAGCTTATCGTTCGATAACAGGTGCTAAATACACAAATTTCGTAATCTGCAGCACGTTATATCGTAAATTTGTCCGCTTTTAATGTTAATGTTGTGATACTTTGCCATATTTTCTAAATCGTTCATGGTGGCAGTAATTTCCTTCTTCCAACTGTTACAATTTTGGGGCGCGTGTGGTTTAATAATTCGGTTCAAACATGATGGATGAATATGTTATTGAAAGAAAAGATCCATTGTATGTACATTTGGCGGTGGCACCTATGGCACACGACATTTTGTTAAAGGTAATTATGTAAATAGGTTGTGGCGTTTCAATTTCATTAATATTTAATTCGCAACGGGGTTTGTAGTTAGTTACTTTTCGTGTCTAGAAATAAAACGCAGTGTTTCTATACACTTGTGTGTATCATAAATACCTTAGTACATATCATAGATTAAAACCGATAATTGACAGTTGTCAATTATCGGTTTCCACAAGATCCACAATTGTGTCAGTTGACGAGACACAATTGTGGATCTTCTTCACGACTTACGTAACGACCAGTGTGACTGATGTAAGTTTAACCACGTTCATTCACAAATGTGTGTTTTCCAAAAGTTGCTAACAAAAAGATAAACACGCACCGTCGGCCTTGTAGAAGTCATAATGAGTACTTACTTCATGTAAATTACGAGATTTACACAATTTAAGCAATTAAACTGTCAGCAACATTTTTTAAATTCTTGGAATAGTGTTTTTAATAGTCCGATAATAGTGTGTTATTACCGTTTTTACAAACTATATGTCAGCTTGGAGACCTACAATTTATATCAACCTTCATCACATTCATTTCTTTTTAAAATGCCAAAACGTTGAAGATGTTGATGTACGTAACTGATAATTCAATCCGCGAGCTTTACGCCTTTTCATGTACATTTCGCTCACTACACGAGCCGTGCTTATTAATATGCGAGCATTTGACAGGTCGCCTGATTTAACATATGCTGCTTTGTGTACACCATCTGTAAGTCGTTCACTTCCCTCGCTCCACAAAGAGTTGTTACCCAGTCATTTTTATTACAGTTTTTAAAATAGAGAAAAGTGTGAGATTTTGTTGACACACAATTCGACAAAATTAACATTAACGGAAAAAATTATCACTACCAAAGCACAAACTTAAAACATATTTTTTTTGTCCAAATATACTCGACTTACATGACAACATGTTTGCGGACATTGTTAATATGGAAGTTTGGCACCGTAGTGACTTCAAAATGTTGCCATCTTATTACAGTTCCGTTCCACTATTGAGTTCTTAAATATAAAATCAGTGTAGAATTGTGCCGCGGGGACACCGGAAAATTTCCCGGTGGACCCGAAGCAGTCTACTTCTTTTTTTTTACATAATTATTTACATTTTTCACATATACAGGATGTTACAATTACAAATGCAATAAATATTCCTAAAAATATAACAGATGCATAAAAAACGGTATAAGAGCATCTTTTTACTTTCAGAGCGTCAACTCAGTACGAAACATAGATCGTCTGCTTCCGTCTGTCTGCTTGTCTGTCTATCTGCCGTTTGTCCCGATTTTCATTAGACAGATAATTTTCGAAAATATTGAACCAATTGTCAAATTTTACATGTGTATTACGAAATTAGTGTAGATGATAAAACGCTAATCAAAATTTGGCTAGTCATCCTTACCAACAATTTGTTGACGTCATCTCCAAAATTTAAAGTAGTAAATATTATTTAAATTATATAAAATAAAATACTCCTGCACATGCGGTTTATCAACCCCTGTTGAATTTTTATCCTAGACATCCATATTTTAGGGGCAAAAAAATCAAAATCGCAACATCTTGCAATTTAACTTTGAAACTGGAAAACCGAATATCCTGAAATTTTGCTTCGTTTATGCCCTTCTAAAACAACAATGGCATCATTTTACAATTTTTCCGAATAATGTTCTTTAATTTATATTTACCAAATACAAATTTTGGTGATTCCAAAAGCATTGTTTGTTATTTCAAATAGAATTCTGACCTGAATGACTCGGGTTTATGGATTGGATTATCAAACGGTACGTTTAACCCCACATTTTTTTTATTTATTTATTTATTTAAGCTCTTTTATCTGTTTTTTGATCAATTTTAAGATACTGTATAATTTTTTTTAAGCAACGATTGCAATTTTGACGGTTTTTATTGCTTTTTTATAAAATGAAAAAAGTCAATTTTTGTCGTAAAGTTTTTTTAATCCATTTTTCTTAAAATTTTTACCATGATTCCAGTGGATCCATATAGAAACCGGCGACTTTGAAATTTTTATAAAAAAAAAACAAAAACACTTCAACATCAAAATTGGCCTGCGTTAAAAAAAATAATAATAAACCACCTTATTATTATTAATTAAAAAACAAAATGTGGGGTGAAACGTGCTATTTTACTTACCACTAATTTCCCTCCCTTTTTTACTTCCCGAGCGTAAGCAAAGGAAGTATTGTAATCGAGTCCGTCGGCCGACTCTCTACTTTTACGTTTTCTCGATCTTTCATGACCCCTAGAAGACGAAGAAATAGGTCTCCCATTTCCGTCTGTCTGTCCGTCTGTCCGTCTGTCCGTCTGTCCGTCTGTCCGTCTGTCCGTCTGTCCGTCTGTCCGTCTGTCCGTCTGTTGTCACGGATTTTTATTAGACAGATAATCTCCGAAAGTACTCGACCGATTGTTGTGAAATTTTGTACTTATATTAAGAATATCATGTAGATGGTAAAACGCTAACCAAAATTTGTCGAATCATCCCCACCACTAAAGCGATGACGTCACTTCAAAATTGTACATAGTAAATGGGTTTTTAATTGTATAAAATAACATAGTCCTACACATGTAGTTTACAACTCTGAAACGTCCAGATTTTTGGAAAAAAAATCAAAATTATAAAACAACATTTTGAAATTTAATTTTTAATCTGCTAACCAGAATGCTTTGAAATGTTGCAGATGTTTTAAGGCTATAAAGAGCATCATAAATCTTTAGTCAAAAAATATTTGCTTATCCCCTCCAAAAACTTGATGACGTCAGCTCAAAAGTTTGTGGAATAAATCATATCTAAAATGTACAAAATATGATGAGTCTGTACTTGTGAACTATCACTCCATTAATATTTTTTGGATTTGCATATACAGGGTGACTCAAAAAAATTAATGAATGCGTAAATATATTTTATTGATTTAATCAAAAACTACAAAACCGAATGCTCTGAAATCTTGCAGATGTTTTAAGGTCATAAAGAGCATAATAAATGTTTAGTCAAAATATATTTGCTTATCCCCTCCAAAAACTTGATGACGTCAGCTCGAAAGTTTGCCGAATAAATCATATCTAAAATGTACAAAATATGATGAGCCTGTACTTGTCATTTATCACTCAATTCATATTTTTTGGATTTGCATATACAGAGTGACTCAAAAAAATTAATGAATGCGTAAATTTATTAATTTATTTTATTGATTTAATCAGGAACTACAAAACCGAATGCTTTGAAATCTTGCAGATGTTTTAAGGTTATAAAGAGCATAATAAATTTTTAGTCAAAATATATTTGGTTATCTTCTACAAAAAACTGATGACGTCAGCTCAAAAGTTTTCCGAATAAATCGCATCTAAAATGTACAAAATATGATGAGTCTGTACTTGTGATTTATCATTCCATTCATATTTTTGGATTTGCATATGCAGGGTGACTGAAAAAAATTAATGAAGGCGTGAATTTATTTTATCGATTTAATCAGGAATTACAAAACCGAATGCTTTGAAATCTTGGGAATATTTTAAAGTTATTATAAGCATGGTAAACTTTTGTTCAAAATGTATTTGTTCATCCCTCCTAAAAAAATTGATGACGTCACCCTTAAATTTTGCTGAATAAATCCTATCTAAAATGCAAAAAATATGATGAGTTTGTACTTGTGATTTATCATTCCATTCAT